TATGAGCAGATGGTTAATCAATTTTTTCAATAAGTTAGGAAATTTAATGAAAGTGCTAGAATTTTAGTTTTTCTTTAACTGAGCAAAGAAATATTTAATGTCAACTGCATTTTGCATGAAATTTTTCTGGTTCTTAAATCAACATGTTCACAACTGGTGCATCCACCTTGTAGAAATATTATCGGTGGATTATATTCTAACAAGCCAACGCTTGTTGAGTCTAAGACAAATTCAATACCAACAATAGGTTCTGGAATCCATTGAATTAATCGACCTTAAAAAAAAAAAAAAAAAAAAAAAAAAAAAAACACCCGAATCAAGTAAAGAGGGTTATTAATATAGGCGAAAAATGTACCCAGCCCGGAATGTACGAAACTTTGTGAGCTGATAGTACTAGTTGAGAGAGGCTTATCCCTAGCTCCGTTTTTGCAGGAACCCCAGGGAATCAGCGTTGCCATTTTTTAAAGTCGTAACCTTCAAACACCCATAACTTTCGCAGAAATGCAGTTACAGAGCTCGTATTTACATCTAAAGATGCAAAAAATTACGTTCTATCGACCAATGCCAAAGAAATTTTAATTTGACTCCATTGTTGCCACGTTTTGGCCATTTTTTTAATTTTCGTAATTATTTAAAATCACGTTACCGCCTGAAAAAGTGTTTGCGGTTGGTGGGGATTGAATAAAAACCTGTCGGAATTATTGTTCGTTCGATTCCGCATCCATCGATATATTATACTTTTCTGAGAGACTTAAAGAACACGAGTTATAGCGATTTGAAAATTCGGCAACACGCCCTATACCCCGATATTGACGCTCGTTTAGGTACGTTTCGCAACTCCATGTTAAAGCAAAGCGCCTAGAACAAACAAAATTCGAAAAGTCAGTTCATGTTTTGCGCTTTTTTGAAACTTTCACATGATTTTTAGGAATTCAAGTAGCGGCGGTGTTGCCGGTTTTCAATGAAAACCACCGCTGCCATCACAATTTAAAGTAGTACTCATTTAATCTTATCCAGCTACATTTGCTAACCTAAACTGACCATTTGCGACATGGTGTTGACAACATTGCCTGATTTCCGTCGGAATTCGCGTAGAGGCGGGGTTGCCAGTTTTCATGGAAACCGCCACCGCAATCACAAAAAAAAATGTATTACTTATTTAATCACGTTCAGCCTTATTCTGTAGTTGGAATTGTTTATTTATCGGATCGATGGTTTCTTCTATCCCTCTGCAACGGCAGTGGTGACCGACAGTACCGAGATATCGATATTGTATAGAGATCAAGAGCAATGGATCTAGGCCCCTCGCCAAAACTACTCATTGGACCGCTTGAGTGATTCGGTAGCTTTAAATTTCGATATCTCGTTACTGTCGGTCCCCACTGCCGTTGCAGAGGGATAGAAGAAACCATCGATCCGATAAATAAACAATTCCAACTACAGAATAAGGCTGAACGTGATTAAATAAGTAATACATTTTTTTTTGTGATTGCGGTGGCGGTTTCCATGAAAACTGGCAACCCCGCCTAAAAAAATGGCCAAAACGTGGCAACAATGGAGTCAAATTAAAATTTCTTTGGCATTGGTCGATAGAACGTAATTTTTTGCATCTTTTGGTGTAAATACGAGCTCTGTAACTGCATTTCTGCGAAAGTTATGGGTGTTTGAAGGTTACGACTTTAAAAAATGGCAACGCTGATTCCCTGGGGTTCCTGCAAAAACGGAGCTAGGGATAAGCCTCTCTCAACTAGTACTATCAGCTCACAAAGTTTCGTACATTCCGGGCTGGGCACTAACCTACCCTTAATCTACCTAAGTTAGGCACATTTACAACTCTTGTTTTATATTTTAAGAAAAAGAGACTTGTATTTTCAGGGCACTAAGTAATATGCCAGTATTTATGAAACCACCGGGGTGAACTATAGTTTGAATTTTCAAAAGTATAGGGGGCAATATGTCAGAAAGAGAGCGTAGTAGAGCTTAAAAGTTAAATTTTGAAGGTGAATTTTAGTCTGAGTATACAATTTTGGAATTAGCTTTATTTCGAGTATTTAGGATCTCGTTCCTTTCAAAAGTATTACTCAACTCCTTCCAACATGGCGTTGGCTGATGACCATGGCGGTCATTCAGAATATGACTTTACCGGGTCATTCCTAAGGATAGTTTTTTTTTAATATTTTCTAACTAGTTCATCGTGTGGCTAAACCCAAAAAGTCAGGGAATTTTGTCATTTTTTGTCATGGAAAACCTGGAATTGTCAGGGAATTTCATTTTGAAAATTTTGTAGACACCCTGTATATATTTGTAAGCAAAATTTTATCCTCTAAAAAAACGACAAGAATGATTTTCTTCACTGGATGCACTAGAATTACGCAAAATCGGGAATACGCTGACGAAGTCAAGAATCAATTTATGCGTAATTTCAGACGGCCGCCATTTTGTTATAAGCAATTTTGACTGTGTTCCTGAGGGGGGCTAATGGTAAACTTTTTTTGGGGGGCTCTAGACATGTTTTGGAGCGCTTTAAAACACAAGAGAAGTTTGTGCTAATTTGTCCGAGGTTAGGCCCTTTTTTGGCTAGAATGACTGGACTAGAAAAAAAAAGTTGAAATTTCATCATTTCTGGACGTCTTAAGGTCCCAGAAGTCGAAATAACCGTACTTAAAAAAATGTGTGTCCGTCCGTCAGGCGTCCCCAAATCTGTGTACAGCGATATCTCAGAATCTATCTGTTCGATTTCATTCAAAATTGGCACAGAACACCATTTCTATTGTCTCTTTATGCACGTCAAACGATTTTGGAGTACACCAAAATTTGGGGGGGCTAGTAGGTACCCTGGTCCATTCTTAGCAAAATCACACGGGAAGCTCATTTTGAAGGACTGTAAATTTTGAAAAATGCCTTCAATTCTTTAAAAGTGGGCATCAAGATATCACCTGGGTCATTAATTTAAGTTCCTGAAAGATCTTTGAACTAAACTCAAAATTCAAGGGATACGAGGCCCAAAAGTAGGGCACTTTGCTCTGCGACATCACACAAACAGCTCATTTTCAAGGACTGTAAATTTTAAAAAAATGCCTTTAAATCTTTGAAAGTTGGCATTAAAGCACCACCTGGGTCATTAATTTACGTTTCTAAGAGAGCTTTGGACTAAACTAAAAATTGAAGGGTAACGCGTTATACAGCGAGGAGAGCACTTTGATCACACGGAGAGCGCACTTTCAGGGACTGTAGATTTTGAAAAAATGCCTTTAATTCTTTGAAAGTTGGCAGGAAAGCACCACCTGAGTCATTAATTTATATTCCTAAAGGAACTTTGGACTAATCTCATAATTGCAGAGGGGCCGATAGCAAACGATCAATTCTCCGATAAATGAGTCGGAACGCTCCTGGGTATTAGCAGCAAACGCTTTGAGACAGGTGAAACCTAGGAATTCAAATGCACTATATAATGCATCATATACTATCTCCAAAATTACTCCGTAGGTATACACCAAGCAAAATTAGACAACTAATTAGGTACTTACAATACATACTATGAATCATCAAAGCTAATGCTAGAACTGACACTTAGATTTTTATTAGAAACTAATATGTTTGTTGTTAATGAATTTAGAATCCCGATAGATTCCATCTTTTGAGGTTCCTTTTTACGAGGTACTAAACACAAATATAATATAATAATACTGCACGAACATGATTGACTTAATGATTGATGATTACACTAAAGCGCGTTATCACCCGTCACCCGTCCTGGTTTGTTGACGTTTTTGTCGTTTAAATACACGGGGAAACGAGCAGCTAAGGAGGTGGCGCTCTCGGCGGGCAGGTGGTGAACCATTTCCAGTAGGGAGATTTGACCGCCTTTAAAATTTGGGATAGATGCTAGGCGACAACTGTTTTGTTTTAAGACTATTTAAACATGGAATAGTGATTCAACCCATTAAAGTAGGTTTTTAATAGCTTTTTACGTGCGTAAGGAAAGATATTAATATATAATCGTATCGAAAGTATGATGTCAATGAATCTAATGGATCCTAATGAATGGTAGAAAAGCTAAGATTTTTAGGATTGCCGTCTTTAATAGGAGGCATCATTAATCAGTTATTTAATTGAAGATCCCTCATAATATCGACAAGTTGATTCCGAATATATGAATTCATCACATATCGCGAAGAGATTTACCATAAAGTTTAGTGGTTTGAATAAAAATTTCATAACTATCATCCTGCGATCAAAATTCCAATCAAACTTCATGATTTTGTGAAATTGGCAGTATTTTTCTACATATTCCAGTAAAAGTGTCTATGCCATTTTATTTGAGTGTAGAGAAGAGCTGTCCTGATGGATGAATTTTATTGGTGATTTTTTTAAATTTGTCTTCATATCCAATATGATTCCCAAGTAAAATTTAACGGTCTTTAATTTGGAAAATATGCATTTTTCCGCTATGACGTGTTTTCCTTGCTGAAAAAAGCATTTTTTGGTGAAAATGTCGCCGGCACAAGTTCTATAAATGCTCTGATCGGTCCGTAACTTTACAGAAGTTTTTTTTATCTATTGGCACATATTGGAAACCGGGGAGCTGAGCATTTCTAATTGTTTTGTAGCATGCAAATATGCCGCACCTTACTGTTATAGACAGAGATGGGAAGGCCACTGAACTCAATCCTGTCAGGATGGTTATTGGCGGAATTAGTCACCCTACTGACCGCTGATTAGGACACCAGCCCATCCAACTTCTGGGGGATGATAAAAATACGCTAGTCAATAAACGATCTCGGACAGAGCATGAAATTAAATTTCAGTTAGGAAGGTCGATGAAATATTAAATTCATTCTTAAGTTTCAACAAAAACATAAGATCAGCATAATGTCAATGACAAAGTCTCATTGACATATAATCAAAATATGGTCAAGAAGCTCTAAAACTGAAATTAAAGAGCTTACTCCCTCTTCCATTTATAATCTCAATACTCATTCTTGCATTTTTAATTTCAGATCATTGAAGAAGCAAAGAGGAGCCTGCATGATGCCTTATGTGTAGTGCGTAACTTGGTTGTTGATAATCGTGTTGTATATGGAGGTGGAGCCTCTGAGATATCATGTGCTATTGCAGTTGCTGAGGAAGCAAACAAGGTAGGTTATCTCAGAGCATAGTGAGGGGAGAAAAAAAAAAAATTAAACAAAATTTTTACCCATGTCGCAATGGCGCCAAAGTTGAGGCCTGCGAAAATACGATTTTCAACAAATCCGGCTTCTACGGTATTTCGCCCTGAACTTTGGGCATGCATTATTGCATGTAGACAAATGAAAATTCGCACTAGTATACGTTCCTAAGTGTTCTTTCACGTAAAATCATCAGATTTGGGCCAAAAACTGTGCAAATGCATGTTTCAAACCCTCAAACTTACGGATGAACACGATTTTTCGGGCCCTAATCAGGAGTCACGTTTATTGGCAGTGCCTACTGAAACATGATGATGAGGGTGTCCTAATAAAAGTTCGACCCTCAAAAACTTAGGTTATCTGGTTGAAAAAGTGTTCCATTTGGTTAGAAAACGCTTTTGGCTAAGTTTCAGATTTATTGGTGAAGTTAAAGTGCTGCCGCATCGCACATTCGTGAAATTTGCGATCCTGATAATTGAGATTTTTGCCGATTTGATGATTCTTTTTATTGACGAAGCAGTCACGGTAGAGCCTCAAAAATTTGAGATAGTAGCCTCCTAACACACTGCTTTTGATATAAATTAAACATTTGGGCGTTGTATGTGTATGAACTGAAGGTAGTCGACTTCTATCAGCATATTTTTGACAAAAAATAATAGTTTTCGTCCCAGAGATGGATAGTTTAGATTCCGACATTATAGCTTGCAGTGTACGTTACGCAATAATTCTCTTCAGGTAGTGTCCCTTAACAATGCGTTAATTTTCTGCTTTTGGGACCAAAACTATCATTTTTTGTCAAAAACATGCTATTAAAAGTCGACCACCTTCAGTTCATACAACGCCAGCAATATTTCTCCGAAAATTAAAAAAGTAATCAATTGTCGCCGAAATGCTTATTTTGCGCCAAAACAGCGTTTTCGGTCAAGTTTCCGAATTTTTAAAAAATACTTCCGCGGTCTCCGCGCTTAAATGTGTAATTTATATAAAAAGTAGTCTACTAGGAGTCTACTGCCTTAAATTTCCCAAAGTGCCCAAAGTTCAGGGCGAAATACTGTAAAAGCCTGATTTGCTGAAAATCGTATTTTCGCGGGCCTCAACTTTGGCGCCATTGCGATTTGGGAAAAAATTTGATTAATTTTTTTTCTTTTTTTCCCTGTCATTTTTACATGAAAAGGAACTGATTGCAGGGTTCAGACTCTAGAATTTCTCCAAAGTCCAAAATTAGGACCACCCTAAGCACACGGTGTGGCTAACGGCAGGTTTGCCCGTACATGCACTCAGCATCACCGCACTCTCCCAACACAGCACACACCCTAAGATTAGACCTCATACTACATTCAGTAACTCTTTTACACGAAATTAACCTTTGTCCATTGACAATTTACCTGTATGATGAACCGCACAAAAGATGCCAAAAATTAGTTGTGAAAACTGAGTCCGCGCACCCGACTTCACATGATATTTACTTATGATGTCATCGTATTAGCAGATATTAACAGCACTCATGCTGTTATCACAGTAGCAGATACTAAACAGCTAGAAATTATTCAGTGGCCTACTCAGTGGTTCTATTGGTCTGATCGAACAAGTCCCTACATGGCATTCCAAGGCACTTCCTCACCTGCCTTATTTACGTGGATATTCGTGGAGAGATATATTGGAATGTGTGTTGTGTTCGATTTTCAGTTTTTTATGGCATTAAACTTGCCCAAAGATGCTGATCCAAAATCATCAATGCGCCAATTTTTCATGAGGCTCTGTTTTTTCACACTCTCCGGTTGAAGTTTTGATAATTCCTCGAATAGATGAAGGAAGTGCGGCAATGAAGAAAAAAAAATCCCTCTTTCTCTCTCCACTCGAGAATGAGCCACAAAGAAAAGTTCGGTGAGAGGTGAGGAAAAGAGTTGTGGAAGAGAGAAAGAATCTGATTTCGACTGTGAAATGAAAACTCGTACGGAATCCAGATAAGATTGCCGCTCGGCGCGGCAGTGGCCTCTGATCACAATGTTCCTGAACGCGCTCAGGTTTTCCTCGTTTCAGGTAGTGCTGAGAGGTAGAGGGGTCTTTCCTACTCTTCATCGCCGTGCAGCCTTCATCTATTTGAGGGGTTACGGAAACTTTAACCTCGGATTGTGCAAAAACAATGGCTCGCAAAAAGTTGGCGCAATGTTGACCTTTGATCAGCATCCGTAGACAAGTTGATTGCATTTAAAAAATTGGAAATCGAACAGAGCACACATTCCCATGAGGAGTATGCGGAGTCGTTTACCCTTCTCCTCCCCTTCCCCCCCCAATTATGACCGCCAATTTGGATTTGAGGCACCGCGTTTGACGGAGGGGCATCTTCCACTACGTATTTGAAATCCTTGATCACAATTATTGTTGAGAATCGATATCTCATGTGGCACCACTACTTGGACGCCATTTTGAATGTTGGGAATTTTAAAGGGGGAATATTTGTCGAAACAGTGAAAAACTGTTTGTATATTGTACAGAAAAATCTTATGATGACATTTCAGTAATGAAAAAGTGCTTAAGTTTATTTATTTTTCAAGAAAAAGAAATATGGACGCCATTTTGAATGTTGGGAATTTTAAAGGGGGAATATTTGTCGAAACAGTGAAAAACTGTTTGTATATTGTACAGAAAAATCTTATGATGACATTTCAGTAATGAAAAAGTGCTTAAGTTTATTTATTTTTCAAGAAAAGGAAATAATATCACTAAGTAACTGAAAAACGCAACTTTTTTTCAACTCTGCAGAAAGCGCCTTATAGCTGTGAGACAAGGAACTTCCATTTCGGATTCTAGGATCCTAAAACAAGGGTACACGTGGGTGTTTTCAAATAAGATTCTAATTTAAGGTCCAACTTCCTCCCAAAATTTTATTTAGATTTTTAGGGATGGACCAAACTTAATCCTGATCAATGTAAGATGTAGAATCAGGAAATAAAGCTCATCAAGCTTAATAGTTAAGGTAAAACCTATTTGACTGTGAAATGTATCATAGCAAGAAATTTGCTCTAATTTCACCTGATTTTCCAAATCTTCGTCTCAAAGGAGATGTATATAATACTTTTCATTAAAAATTGACTGAAGTTTTCATAAGTGTATCGTCAGGCACTAAATTACCGCATATTTGAAGAAATTCCCATTCACATCTCGCAGAACTAAAAGAGTTGAGGAAAAATTCATCCGTTATGAAAGAGATCTGAGGCTTATTTTGCTCGTCTTTTTGACAGTTCTGTCTGTCGAAGTGCTTCGTCTTGTTCTTTAACACGATAAAAATCCTCAAATTCTTGGAATATTGCAATGCAAAATGGATCAGAATCATCAAATTTTAAAACTTCGAGTGGGTGTGTTTACCTATGAAGTGGAGATGAAGTCAGGAAAAGTTAGAGGAATTGCATTAACTTAATAATTACACCGGTCAACATTTTTTTTTTTTTGATTTGCCAAAGATTTTCCAATCAATGCGGTGTAGATTTTTAGCGCCAATTCTGAAAATAACCTCCGTTTTTCTAAATCAGTTCGATTTTTCCCGGAAAAATCGGAATTATCCTTAAAAATTTAGCTTTTGTAGAAGAGACAATTTTCCTGTAAAATCTGTGCACACTGGAAGAAAGAAAGAATGGACCACTAGATAAGGTATGAATTTCAGCATTCTGATACATGTTTACAAACCAAAATTTTATGTAAAACACGATGCACACAAAGAAAATTCCTGAAATTAACTCCTTACGAAGATATTTAATGATTCTTGATGGGTGAATTCAAACCACCTGCTCATGAAAACTCAATGCTATATGTGATTCACATGCATGCTAAACGTTATCATGACAGTCTCTATGATATAGAAATCTGGCAACCTCAATCTTGACGCTTTGGCTCAGCTATAACAAATTGCTTATAGTTTGAACAACACATGGTGGGACATGAACATTGCTCGACATAGAAGCTTACTGAAACTGTTGTAGTGCGCGATTTGATTCAAATAGAGCTTTGAGTTTCTTGTGAGCGGGCAGTTCAAATTCTTCTTAACCAATGTGAAATAAAAACGTTATTATCTTCGTGTCTGAGTGTGTGCTAAAGGAATGGAAAAGGAAGTGTTCTGGTATGGGTGTCCCCTTGGGTGATCTTGAAACTCTATTCACTCAGTGCTTTGCTGATGACCAGGTTCTGGTTGCTCAAGATCAAGATGACGCGGAGTACATGATGCGCAAGTTAGTAGAAGAATATCGGAAGTGGGGTTTGGAAGTCAGCATATCCAAATCTGAGAAGATGACTTTTGGCAGTGATCAGCAAAGCATTGAGTTGGAGGATGGGCAGCAGATCAAAGGCTGCGAGCACTTTAAGTACTTGGGAGTGCGGTTGACCCAGGATGGAAGGACAGATCAAGCTATCAGGGAAAGGAACACCTTAGCAAGGAAGGCTATAGCGATGTTAAATGGAATCCTCTGGGATCAGCAGATTTCCAAAGATAACAAGAGGAGGATATACAACGCTGTAGTCAAAAGTATATTAACATACGGATGTGAAGTTTGGCAGCTGAAGAAACGGACACAGGATATGCTAAGAGCAACGGAGATGGATTTCTGGAGAAGGTCGGCAGGAACTTCTAGGAGAGATCGGGTCCGCAATGATAGAGTGCGTCAGATAATGGAAGTCGAAAATGACATCGTGTTCGACGTCATGACCAAACAACTTGTTTGGTATGGTCATGTCAATAGGATGACTGAAGAGAGGCTGCCAAAAAAGATGCTTGATTAGGTTCCTCCTGGGAGGAGACGTAGGGGACGCCCAGTGAGAGGTTGGCGACAGGGGGTGTTGAGTGAGATGAGGGAGTGTCAACTCCCTGATGACCTGTGGGAAGACCGAGCTTTGTGGCGATTAGGCGTCGTAAAGCGCCAAAGAGCGCTATAAAAGCGACTCATATGTATGTATTATCTTCGTTAGGAGTTAGTTTAAGTAATTTTCGTTGTGCGAATCGTGCTCTACTTGAAATTCTGACTAGGAAACATGTATCAGAATGCTTAAATTCGTACCTTGTCTAGTGGTCCATTTTTAGATTTTGCAGCCATAAATACACAGGAATCCATGTATCGCATCCCCATTAAAATTTCTCTTCTGTTCTAAATACCAAGGTTTTTCCGGTCCAGTTCTATTGAAATCAATTAATTAGTCACCGAGATAGCGCTTTAAGGCACGTCCGCCATCTTAGATTTTTTTGGAAATTTGACTGATAATTCGAGTCTCCCATTAAAAATACCACTACCCTCTTTTGGAACTTTGACTGATAATTCGAGTTTCCCATTAAAAATACCATAAGACATCAAATTTCACTTACATCGTTTGAATAGGACACCTGCAAGGCCTAGACAAGCAAGTCTCAGTTATACCAGTAAATGAGTTGTCCCTTTTCAAAGCGAAACCGGAAGGAATGAGACAGAGTAAAAATAAGCTATTTTCGAAGCTTATCACTAACAATAAGCACATCCTAGAGTATCAGAATAAGACAGGTTTTTCCAAAACACACTTTGAATGTATTTTACAAGCTGATATTATTGTTTGTGTGTGTGTGTGTGTGTGTGAGTGTGTGTGTGTGTGTGAGGGTGTGTGTGTGTGTGTGCGCTTGACGCCCTATTAGTTATCTTGTATCACATTTGGTTTGGCATCCTATATGGCGTTTATCTTGCGCAAAAATTTGCAATTTTCACTATTTTGGCCATCTAAGATGTGTGAACTAGTTAATCAAAACAAAAAAAGTCGTTTTTGGAAAAATTGCAATGTTGCGGCAATTATTTAGAGGTCTTCACATTGTTGTCTTGTCTCCTCTGACAGTTGCTAGGAACAATGATTTTAGCTCAAAAGTTATTTATGAAGTAATAAAAAATCAGACCTATTTTTTTCTCTCAAATCTTAAGGTGTTACCTTCCATGAATAAAGTTTTCCCTAGTAATCACTGAAGTTGTGCTGCAATAACTGTTTTAAGTCCAGAACCAGGTACGAGGACACGCAAATTTGAGATGAATTAGGGTAATTTGCACTTAAATTATTGTGCTAAATTTTTATTTTAGTCTAAACAATGTAGAAAATAGTGTGTCTTAGTCGACAATAGTATGGTAAATGAGAAAAAAATGTGACTTGACCATTGTTGTCATATTTTAAGTGATGCAAACCAGAGGCGTAGACAAAGGGGGGGGGGTCTGGGGAACCCCACTAAGTCTCGTTACTAGTACCTTTTTTGAGTGTTGGAGGGTAGACATAAAATGTTATCAGGGATGTACACAAAATAATGTAAAAGGAACCCCCCCCCCCTTTAAAGAAATCCTGGCTATGCCATTGATGAATACAACTGGGGACACTAAATTAGACGCTTATTTGAAAGAATCCAAGTACCTGTGGTGTGTTAGTTACGTTTTTTGCGTAAGAACCCCTTAATGTCTGGAACATTGGATCTGAATTCTAATATTCATCAAATTTTTTCTGCTTTGTTCTCAGATTTCCTCCCTTGAACAGTACGCTTTCCGTGCTTTCTCAGAAGCGCTCGAAAGTGTTCCTATGGCTCTGGCTGAAAACAGTGGGCTTTCTCCAATTGATACTCTAACAGACATGAAAGCCAAGCAAATTCAAGAGAAAAACTCTGCCTTAGGTATCGATTGTATGCTCAAAGGCACTAATGGTAAGTATTTCGCCCGCATTGCAATACACTTCCATTATTGATCTGAGCTCTCACAATCTTGCAGTGTCACGATTTGTGTGTGGTTTTCTTTGCTGAATTGTCCCCCATGACCACACCTCAGCTTTCCATTCCTTTCCGTTCTTTTTCCTCTTCTCTCTCTCAGTTCTCGTGCATCCCCTGCCCTTCTTCTCTCTCTTACAATACCACCTCTTTTATATTGCTCTTTCAAGTCGTCACCCTTTTCTAATACCAACGACAGCAATCTTCATCTCCCCACTGTGCTGCTGTCTGCCACTTTGCATTATTTAAATCTTGGAGGTCCAGCTCCCTGTTCCCATCACTGCGCTGGCTTCTGCTTATTTTATTTTAATTTCTGTGGAAACATTGAACGAGAATTTTTATCTTATCATTTTCTACATCTGAAAGTTACCTTGATACCCACAACCTAAAACCGAGAAAAGGCCTTACTCCTTGATCACTCTATAGTAACATTGTTCTCAAGTTTCATTCATTTGTGTGTGATAAATCATGAGCTTTTTTAGGCCCATCTCCTGCTAACTTAGACCTGCATGAAAACAGCCATTATGAACAAGGTCCTTTGTTAATTTATTAGGCAGATATGACACATGAAAGGGTCGAAGTTTAGGATGTGGGAGGAAGGAGTGGGTATTACTTCTGGCGTCAATGAAAAGGAACTGCATTTCTTTGACAGTTGTGCGTTTTTAGGTTAGTGTCAAACATCGTTAGGGCTGTGCGAGTATCCGCATATCGCAAATATTCGCGTTCGTCTGAGGCGCGCACTACTCGCAAATTGCGAATTTTCGCGCTGTCAAAAATAACGAATTTCTGAATGGCAATCGTGAAATGTTGCGCGGACCTGTGCAAGGCTTCCATTCAAGACATTGCAAACGGCGGATCTCCTTTGATTTTCACCGACTTTCCCGATTTTATGAACAGCGCGCGCGATTGCGATTAGCCCGCGTATCTTGGTTGCGCCGATTCGGTTTGACCACTAAAGAAAATGTGTCTAGTGATACTTAGATACTAGCTCGACTTCCCAAGCAGTTACCTTCAAATCCTGGGAATGCACATATAACTACAGGGACAGTCGAGCCAGCATCCAGGGTCTTCAAACTCATCCTTTACAGCCCAGGTTGCTGTCATAGCATTTCATTGTTGTCTGTGCAGGTAGAAAACTCTTAAAAGAATTAATAACACTCATTTGTTGACTTTTGTAATATTTGCGAATTTTCGTACTTTAAAGAGTCATTTTAAATTATTCCTTTTAATGTTTGTAGTTTTGAATAATCGACCTAAATTATACGCCATTCGCTTCGTATCCGCGAGTAATTTGCTATACGCTTTGTTTGAAAAATTCGCATAGTTCTAATATCTGCTCCTGTGCTTTTTTGCATAAGTTCTTTGGTTCCTGATAATCTGGCGTCCAGTTTGCATTTTTTCTTCCATTGCAGCACCAGGTGTGTGTAGATATCAAACAAAAAAAGCCCGAAAATTAAAAAGTTCTCTAACCTTGAGCTCATCGGATATCAGCCCTCTTTAATGAGTGCACCTCATATTTGGAGTGTGCCTTGTATACAAATCTCTAAAGATATGACATTTTGCACTTCTAGTTTCCCCATCCTGCTTATCAAGAAATTACTGCCCCTGCCACCAAAACCCAAAGAAACGGATCTAATTCAAAATTCGCCTTCTTCAAACTCGGTCTAATCTTCTAAATATTTTTAGGGATGATAGCGGATCACTGAGTCCAAAACACTGACGATTTTTGAAATCACACAATCATGGGGGAGGGGGTTAAATTTAAAACTTCAAACTGGCACTACTCGGGAACGATTTGTTGTAGAGAAATGATCTGATCTAGGTTTCAAAATTGAGAGGGAACCACCAGCTTTCAGGTGATATTTACGTAATTGGTCCATTTAGAAAAGAGCTTCATGCAAAAACGGCTTTTTTCGCCGCCCCCCCCCCCCTGGAAGTTCTTCAGACTTTGTCTATTGATTACTCATTCTTGAGCGCTTCTTTTCCCAAATTTTCAGACCCCCAAAAAATTTTGGGGGGGATCTAGGAGGTGTAACGGGGCAAATCCCGTTTCTTCAGAGGCACATACGTCCTCTGGTATAAGATAAGCCAACGTTACTGTAGTTGCCGGAATGAGCTCGCCGGGATCCTGGATTCGGGCGCCAATTTAAAAAAATGAGTTTGAAAGAGGGGAAGAATGATCAAAAATCTCGTGTCTCAAATTTACAAAAAGAATGTCCTTTTATTAGCTAAATTTGTGAGGATCCTACTCAACCTACACTCAAAATGAGGATAATAATAATTTAGCCGAAATGCCACTCACTAACGTGCACCTCAAGGCTTAAAATTGCAGGATACATGTAAGAGAAGAGGAGGAGTGAAGCTGGGCGAGATGCTACTCACTAACGTGCACCTCAGCACAGAGGAAGAGAAAAGAGGAAAGTGAAATGGACAGAGGGCTCGACGAGATGCTACTCACTAACGTGCACCTCGAGTCGAGAAAGATTTAGGAAAGATGAGAGAAGAGGTGACCCTCCGGAAAGGAGAGGGTGATGAACAATGTTTGGCTTTGAGGGCTATCAGATTGATTTGAAGCTATTGAAAGACGATCTCGACATTCGTTGGAAAATTTTTGTTACAAGAAAAATTAATTAAAATATAAAATTTACAGAAATGGATGTAGGAAAATTTCCTACAGAAGTTTGTAGTAGTTTAGAATTTTTTACAATTTTTCGTTTTGGGTAAATCTACGGAAAACCCTGATTTCGCAGTTATCTTCGAGAGAGAAAAAAAAGGAGAAACAGTATTCCATTTCTTTTCATTATTCAAACAGCTGATGTACCGTCACCGGGCGTCGTGGCGCGGTGTCGCCAAGCCGTGACACATTTGTCGCTATTTTGGTCTACAAAAGAAGGGGAAAAACTTAAAACGGAGAATGAAATTCTTCGTTACAGGGGGGTGGAAGTCAAAACCTGTGAACCTCGATATCTCTTGAACAAAGAAAGATATCGAGGTCCGGTTTGGACGAAAAATCGTCTAAAATTGCATACTTTAAGATTCTAAAGGTCGAAATCCCGATATCACATTTTGAAGTCAACATATGTGCTTTTTTCCAGTTTTTAGGTCTAGAAAATTTCTTTTAAACGAAAAATTTACAAAGATCTCAATTTTTTATTTGAACCAAAACCAGTTTTTTAAATTGTTCGTCTTTTTCCGCATCCAACGAGTGGTCGTATAAGCTGGGGAACCGATCGGTTCCGGAGTTATGATCGATTGAAGTTTCCGCTCAACGCGCGCCGACCGATTTTCGGGCGCAAAAAAGTCGGATTTGACTGCTATTCGATCAGATTGAATGTTCAAACTGAGCGAAATGCTTTATTAGGGACTCTTGAGGGTCGCTGAGTTCAGAAATTACAGATACTTCCAAATAATTTACGTTTTTAAAATTACAGCTCCGCAGCGCTATTTGAGAGGCCCACTGAGCGCCGACCGGCTGCTCAGTGGTCCTGTCCGAAGCTGCAATTTTAAAAACGTGAATCCTGGTATATATCATCATACAGGGTGTACCAAAAGTCCGTCCCACCCCTGCTAACTTTTGAACGAATTGAGCTAGGGCAATGAAACTTTGGGGATGTTCCTATCTCAAAGGATACCATCTTTTGCGGGGGTCAAAATTTTGGTCCCCCCTCAGGGGGGGCGCGGGGGCCCCCCAACTTTTTTTTTTCAAATGGCAACACCTATCTTGTGATACCTCATTCGAAAGAGCATAAGAAACTAAGAATTTTGGCGCAAACCGCATATCAATATCTTAATTTTTGACCGAGTTATGATAGGTCAAATTTGACCTGTTTTATAAAAATCATAACTCCGATTCAAATTATCGTAAGGAAAAAAATAAAACGGGAAAATTTACCAAATTGTGTCCGCTTTTAAGTAAAAATTGCAGAAATCACTTCGATTTAATTTTAAGGGAGGGCTCGGACCCCCAAATACGTCAATTCAAAGGTCATTCAATTTTCCCGCGAAATAAGCCATTTTCCCCTAGATTTGCCTCCAAATTATCTCAGTAAGGTCAAAATCAGTTCAACATTACGTTGGCAAGTCCCCAAATTTCGGGAAAAGTTAAAAAAAAACGAAATTAAAGGTGATTAAAGACCGTTTAAATTCCGTTTTTTTTAACTCTTCCCGAAATTTGGGGACTTGCCAACGTAATGTTGAACTGATTTTGACCTTACTGAGATAATTTGGAGGCATTCTGCAGGAGGATTTCTGCAATTTTTACTTAAAAGCGGACACAATTTGGTAAATTTTCCCGTTTTATTTTTTTCCTTACGATAATTTGAATCGGAGTTATGATTTTTTGAAAATAGGTCAAATGTGACCTTTGACCTATCATAACTCGGTCAAAAATTAAGATATTGATATGCGGTTTGCGCCAAAATTCTTAGTTTCTTATGCTCTTTCGAATGAGGTATCACAAGATAGGTGTTGCCATTTGAAAAAAAAAAGTTGGGGGCCCCCCGCGCCCCCCCTGAGGGGGGACCAAAATTTTGACCCCCGCAAAAGATGGTCTCCTTTGAGATAGGAACATCCCCAAAGTTTCATTACCCTAGCTCAATTCGTTCAAAAGTTAGCAGGGGTGGGACGGACTTTTGGTACACCCTGTATGTACCTATAATACATCCTGGTCACTTAACAGATTAGAACATTAAGCAGTATACAAGGTGTTACAACTAAGTGACGACAAACTTCCAGGGCCTAAAACAAGCAGCAAAGTCCCGTACCAAAATTCTCAAGGATGCGTGGTTCTCGAGTTACGGGGAGTTCAATTTTTGAAAAAAAAACACCGTACGTGTTCAGTTACGACGTCACAGTGGCTGTCCTAATTGTCGGAATCGAAAAAAATTGTGGTTTCGTAAAGTGCTCATCAATAGCTTAACAAAAGGTTTTTTCGTTTTTTTTTTCGTAAAACCCCTCTTAATGGAGTTATTGACCGTTAAAAAAAATACCGTATTACCGTACGTCGCAAATAAAGTTGGTCAGGACGTACGGTAAAACGGTATTTTTTTTAAAGGTCAATAACTCCACTAGGTTTTATTGAAGAAATGCCAGAGGGTGGTTCGGGTGCGTATGCAGAAGGCAGATATAAGGGCTTAATTTAATTCTTTAACTGTAATGCGATGTATTTTAGTACTAAGTATGCAGTTTGTATATGATTGTCACAATAAATTGACTTTTTTAATTATAAAAGAAATAAATGAATAAATAACTATAATAAAAAAATGAAAAATTTTTTTTTATAAAAAAATCTCCATTAGAAGGGGTTTTACGAAAAAAAAAAAAACGAAAAAACCTTTTGGTAAGCTATTGATGTAAATTACGACTGGGGAGCTGGAGAAAAGGCCGTTTTTTCCAGTTTCTCGAGTTTGAGACCGTTTTTCGTGTGGATTTTCAAGCTGAGAGAGAGTGTCAAGTATCGAATCCTATCGAATTTTTCGCGTTCGTTCTGAATTTGTTATTTTTTTTTGTTGTATTACAAACAAAAAATGCTCCCCAAGCCCCCCCAAAAAACCCCAGAACCCCCGAAAAACCCCAAAACCCCTAAAAATCGTGAAAAATTCTCTGAATGGCCCACTTGACATGATTTTTCACCATTTTCACTTGTTCCAATCGAAAGTACGCAAAAAATTACCCGGATACAGGTATCCCATGAATGATTGCCGAATCTTCCCGGAGAGTTAGAGAATTTTCATCTTTTATTCAAGGATGGTTCCATTCAACAAAAGTCTATTTCTAACCATGAGCACAATTTTTCCACACCGTAACTTTTGGCGTGATTCATGTACTGGTATGTAACTTTAATCTGTTGAATTTCGGTGATGTGGCAAAATTGTGCTGGGTGTAAATGAAGACTAATAATCGTGGAAAATGCAGTTTTTTCGGTTTTCTCAAATTCAGAGCTGTTTTTCGTGTTGAAAGTTTAAGCTGAGAAAATGTCTAACCAACGATTTCTAACGGATTTTTCACGCTCTTTTTGAATCTGCGATCGTTTTTGTTGTATAATTATCCGTTTTCTAGTTACAGGTGAAAAATTGCCAAAAAACCCCAAAAATCGTTGAAAATGTCCAGAATGACCCACAAAAAGTGGGTTTAGACAATTTTCGCCTGTTTCATTGAAAAGTACGCAAAAAATTACAGATATGAACCTCCCGTATTCATGAAACAAAGCTTTTTTGGGCTCATCATAAAATTAAAACCATTTTTCAGCCGAAAAATTGAGTCGGCTCTTTTGGCAGATAAACGATGCACAATCGCAAAAACATTTTGCGCCAGAATGCACCTACCCTAGGGTACTTAAAATATGGGTTCAGATGATTTTTTGAAGTGGGGCCAAAATCGGCCCTTATCGACACCCCTCCATTAATTGGGCAATGTAATTAATGTAATTTTTTGCATGAAAACGGTTGTGCAGATTTTTCTGCAAAAAAATAATTTTCAGCTAAGTGCGAAGCAAACCTCTTAAAATTTTCAGAGAAATCCGCACAACTGTTCTCTTGTAAAACATTAAAATATGGGTTCAGATGATTTTTTGAAGGGGGGCCAAAATCGGCCCTTATCGATACCCCGCCTTTGGCAATAGTTGATGCAGCTCGGTTCCTCTCTGCTTAATGCAGTCCAATTAATGTCAGTCTCGTTTTATTAGTATACAGGGTATCCGCAAGTTAACGTACTTAACATTCAGGATCCATATTTTGGCTCAAAATATGATTTTTTTTCTCATACACGTATGAGGACTTAAATGCAATATTAGCAGTTGCTGACATCCACCATTTTTAGGGAAAACGCTTTTTTCTAATTCTTGAGCCCTCAAGAATGCCTGTACAAAGTTTCAGACTTCTAGCGCACTTTTTCCGCGAGATGTGACCTGAAAACCATGTTATTTGCACAAACAGCGGATATAGGAATCCACTGTTCTCTCCGGCCGGCTTGGCAGGACACCGTGGAAATTCGAAAGCACTTGCGATAACTGCCCGCGCACCGGCCATGGGCTGCAGCTGACACTGAAATGATGCAAATCGGGACCGTCTCGCCAGAATTGATGAGTTTTTAACTGATTTTATAATTTGTTCCTTATTTTTGATGTAGAAGGTACAGAAAGGTTAAATTTTTGTTTAATTTTATTAAATGACTCAGCATTTACATACTTTTGGTTTATTTCAATCGTTTCACCAGCCATAGTACCCTTCCTGAAGACTTTGTTTCATGCATAAAAAAAAATGTTTTCAGTAAAAATAGTGGATGTTGGGGCTGTTCTATCGGTTGTTGGTAAGCTACCGAAACAGTTCCGTCAAGAAAAAGTTACGATAAGAGCGCTCTTGCCGATAGCGATCAGATTTTTCGGAGCTGGCGAAAATAAGCTGTTGCCATTTGTACATCTATTTTACGCGCCGCCGCGCCAGGCAATCTGATAAACCGACACACGGGGCAACAATGCATTGAGTGCGAGCTCTCAAAGCTCCGATAAGGCCGGCTGTTGTCGATATTATCGCCACTGTCGGCACTGCCGCCAGTTTCAATAAGAGACGATGTCGATAGTGTTCCGGCAAGAATTCGTTTGAACACCCCTAGCGGATGTGGCCTTTCTGCTTTCGAAACTTTAAATGAGATGATAGTTGCTCTTGGACTAAATCGACTTGGGAAAAGTACTATTCTTCGTTGGCATAAAGCTACGGAACCTTAGGCGCGTCTGGACGCCGGCGGAAAATGCTGCTACCGAGTCGAGGGCGAGAAGACGCTCACATTTTAGAGCACGGCACCTTAGGAGCGGAATCCGTGGATTTTTTCCGCTCTGTCCGCCGTCAATTTCTCGAATTTTCGTTGATCGGACAGTATGCTCTGGGCCGCGAAAATGGCTGTACGCGCTTTTTTTTAGGAGGGTGTGAATTCGATCGACAAAAATCGACCGAAAAATAAAAACGTGAATCGATCGACACCAATCGATGGACAAATTACTAAAAACCGGGTGTCGATTCGATCGACAAAAAATGTGGATCGATAGACGAGAAATGATTGATAATTAAAAGGAAAACCGGTATCTAGTCAATCGACATGAATCGATCGAAAAACCAAAACGTGAACCAATCGACGTAATTCGATCGATTCACAACTTGGTCGATCGATTCACGGGTTTGTCGATCAACTCACAGGTTTGTCGATCGACTCATAGGTTTGTCGATCGATTCGCAGGTTTGTCGATCGACTCATAGGTTTGTCGATCGATTCACAGGTTTGTCGATAGACTCACAGGTTTGTCGATCTATCCACGGCTTTTGTCGATTGATTCACGGGTGGGTCGGTCGATCCACGGCTCTTGTCGATCGATTCACGGAATTTTCGATCGATTCGCGGCTTTTGTCGATCAATTCACGCCGTTTGTGATCGATTCGTGGGTTTGTCGAACTAAACACATTCAAAAATCGGTAGGAAAGGCAGCGGACTGAGCGGAATTTCTCGGCGTCTTCGCTCCGATCTGTTCGCGACAGATCGGAGCGTCCTCGATCGGCGTTTTCCGCAGCGTCTCTTCGCCGCTAAGGTGCCGTCCCCGCGCAAAAATCATTAGACAGATTTATCGGCGTCTGGACGCCGCGTCTAGACGCGCCTAAGGTTCCGTACCTTAAATGTTTTTCCGAGGGTCGAGAGTCGGCAGCTTGTTTCAAGTTTTCCCAAGTCGATTTAGTCCAAGAGCAACTATCATCTCATTTAAAGTATCGAAGACAGAAAGGCCACGGCGAACGCAATAGCGAATGGCATAACATTCTTCTTGTTTCAACTCAGCGGGCGAACTCATTGCGCTTCGCGAGATAACACTTTGTTACGCTTGACGGTTTCGGCTGCTCTGAGCTTTCCCGCGGACGATTGCAATGAAAACACATGTTAACAGGATAAAACCTGCATCCAGAACAGTGCCCACTTCATCCCTCCACCTGATCCACTGCGTCGCGATCTGCAGCGCCACTCATTTTTTTTAATGCATGAAACAAAGTCTTCAGGAAGGGTACTAAGGCTGGTGAAACGATTGAAATAAACCAAAAGTATGTAAATGCTGAGTCATTTAATAAAATTGAACAAAAATTTAACCTTTCTGTACCTTCTACATCAAAAATAAGGAACAAATTATAAAATCAGTTACAAACTTATCAATTCTGGCGAGACGGTCCCGATTTGCATCATTTCAGTGTCAGCTGCAGCCCATGGCCAGTGCGCGGGCAGTTATCGCAAGTGCGTTCGAATTTCCACGGTGTCCTGCCAAGCCGGCCGGAGAGAACAGTGGATTCCTATATCCGCTGTTTTTGCAAATAACATGGTTTTCAGGTCACATCTCGCGGAAAAAGTGCGCTAGAAGTCTGAAACTTTGTACAGGCATTCTTAAGGGCTCCAGGGCTTGGTCTCAGTTGTTTTGGGACACCCTATGTAATCCAAAACTAGTAAGAAGCTGTATGTTCACCTGTCACTTGTCTTAGAAAATTCTACTATTTCCTCCATTGATATTAACTTACTGATTCATTGATTTTGATTTCTTTCAGATATGAAAGTCCAAAACGTCATAGAAACACTGCAAAGCAAGAAGCAGCAAATATTGTTGGCTACACAACTTGTGAAAATGATCTTGAAAATAGATGATGTGAGATCGCCAGGGTTTGATTAGTTTTTGCACTGGGAACTGTTGTACATTCATGTGGCATTGACATAAAAAGGAGCAGTAGAAGACGTAGTTTTGTCGCTTCAGCAGTCTTGCCTCAACTAACAATAAATAAGCTTCTCAATTAACATGACATCGCAAAAACCAAGTTCCTTCTTAGCCATCTTTCTTCTAGTATAACCACCAGTTCTTCACTTTTATACTCCTCTGCAAAAAATTGAGCCCTTACTAGCGATTTTCTCAGCCATAGGTAAGGTACTGTGTTAAAAAAAAACTTCAGTAGATCCAAAAACTCCAGTTGTTAAGTGTTTCCTCGCAAATAATTGGTTTTAATTCGCTTGGATTCATGTGTTTTGATTTTCATAACTACCCTCATGCTTTCACTAAAATCTAATCTTTTTTTCCTGCACCCAGTATTTATTATTTATGTGAAGTGAAGCTTCGAGTCAAACCGTCAATAAACTACTACTTTACTTGAAATCATCAGTTCTCTCTATTTTTCTGATTAATTTACCGTCAATATTTGCCTCTGTCGAAATTACCTATTTCTGATTTTGGGGACAGCTGCTTGCAAGCGGTTGTTATTTGATGAACACAGTTTCAATCTGATGAAAAGTTCATCTCCCATTTACTTTGTCATTATTTCTATGTGAAATCCGTTTCATTTCATCATGGAAATAATCACTCTGGCTCAGTTATAGAGATATATAAACTAAATTAACCCAAACTTTTTTCATTTGTAAGTTTTTTAGTGTCTATTTATGAAATTGTCAACATTTCTGATAATACAAGAAATAAATTTAGTTTTATATTTTTATGTCAAAACTCTTTTCAATAAGTATTTTCGGTATTTGCGACCTGTGGTATCCTTTTGGTTGCTGCCTAGGTAAAATGTATCCAGTTCTACAAGTTGTCATGAGGGAATCATGTAGCACACTTTTTTGTGTTTTTTAGAAAGTGGCTAATGCCTTCATCAGTTTGAGCGACACCTTTTTCTACTCTCCCAAGTGTTATGTGCTGAAGATAAATGGGTTGTGTTATTTTATTCCCTTTCAAGACCTGAAGGGGGGAGGGACTGGATTTGCATCTGCTATTTCTATCCGAAAGACTACCTACTTTCCTTCTTTGTCAAAATTCGGATCTTAGCCGAAGACTTGTAAATGCATTTAAGCAGTTTACCGTTGTATTTTAACTATAAGCTCTTAGACCTCCTAGAATATTTTGGGCGACAGGTTGTTTTACCAGGCAGATTATTATGATTTTTGTGGCAAGCGACAGGTGATAGTCTCTAAATGAACCAACTCTTCTCAGATTTTGGAAATATGACCCAGGTGTTTTTACTGTAACGTCATGAAAGTGAACGAATTCACAGAATGATTCAAGCGGCTCCCCAGCTGCTACCTTTTAGGGCAGAAAGTTGTGCTTTGGCTAAGAAGAAGTGGCCTATGCATTAGCTCTTCTCTTTTAGCACAAGATTCATGAGGTTTCATCGGTCTGCTGCGATGGATAATAGACAAAGCCTTATCAATCAAGTGCCCACCTCTGGGAATGTGGGTTTGAATGCCCTCAGAAATAAAATTGTACAATCCTCTGTAAAACAACATTTCATAGTTTTAATGAATCCACAATACTTAATCTATAATAGTACGGTGGCTTATGGCAAATACGCTGCAAATCGTGATTCAGTTTTGCCACTTTGGGAGATCAAACTAGATGATATTTTAAGCGTTTTGAGTTGAAGAGGCATTTCCAAAATGGTGGCAGAGCCAAGATGGCGGCCATTCAAAATGGCGGCCGGCGCGTACTTTGAGCCGCTCTAGATCGAGATCCACTGAACCGATTAAAATTTTCTTTTTTTTGTTTGATAGATAATTGAAAGTTTAATGTAACAAAATCACAAAATTTTTGATTTTGACAATATACAGGGTGTTTTTTTCATAAAAACCGGGTTTCGCGTGTGGAAAAAAATCTTCTAATTCGCATAACTTTCAAAATCGTATTATTAAGGTCACTTTAAATACTCACCATGTAAAAGAGCGTCTTTTAAGCTTTCCAACGATATATTACATGATGGGTCTATGATTTAAAGTTTCCGCGCCCCTGCGATCCGCGCGGCGGCGGCACAGCGCGGGCCTGTATAAATTAGTCCACGGGCCTATGTTGAAAAGAAGCCTCCCGTGGAAAAGGAAATGTAGTAAGTATGGAAAATGGCCTGACCTCTTCTTTTCGATGTGTAGAAAAATAATTTTGATGTTGTCAAGCTCAATTTTGCGTCCAACCCCTCCAATTCAACATGGCGGTCAAAATGGGGGCTCGGGGGTTGAAAATGTTGGAATTTGTTTTTGATGTCGTGTATGGGGTCTATCGCTGTGTAATTTTGGTCGTAGAATCCGAATTTGAGGTCCAAAATTGTCTCCGGCTCAAAGGGATGCCCAAAATCCAATATGGCCGCCAAAATTTCCACGATAGGGTCAAATCTCCGAGAGTTGCGTAAAAGCGCCGAGTAGGGTATCTTTCCTAGGGTTTTTTGGGTCGTAGATTTCACTGATGAGGTCAGAATTTTACTACAGGTTTACTGAAGCCCAAAAATGTCAATATGGCGGCCAAATGGCTGCCGTTGCGGGGTGAAATATTTTGTTGAGGCTCGTATCGTCGAGTGAGGTGTCCCTGCATGGGTTTTTCGGGTCGTAAATTCCACAAATGAGGTCCAAATACCCAAACAGGCCCATAAAAGTTCTCTAAGAACCAAAGTGGTGGCCAACATGGCCGCTCAGATAGTGAGAACGGTAGAGAAGTTACCTTTCATACAATGATGAATTTTCGTGTATGTTTTGTACTCCGCTGATTCCGGATGTAGTCCAGGATGTCAAGAAAATAATTGAAGTGGATACGTATACCACGTAATATGCAATGCTTATGAGATTTTGCAACCCACACTTCCTTTTGGAGAAAATGTACGACTTACTCATACTCAGAAAATTTGGCAGTTATGGACACGGCAAAAAAATAAAGTATTTGGGGAAAATCCTGGGACTCAGCATGGAATTGTCAGTTCACTGATTGCAGGAATGCTACACGTCTCTTGACAATTTCATACACTGTGTATTTTGAATGAAATTTTTACAAATTCATCACACGGAACAAAATCTTCGATGTTTATGGGTATATGTTATAATCCATGGGTACGACAAATCTTCTCTTTTGCACAACGCAAATGTTATTTTTCCGTTTTGTGCTCAAAAAGAGGGTAAACATTTTTCGGTGCATATGATAGGGTGGACACCTATTATGTACTTTATTGGCTGCTTAAACCAGTTTTGGTTTACCTAATTGTTCTCTAACATTAAGAATGTTGCAGGAGTCGAAATGTCCAACAAATGCGTTTTAGGGGGAGGAGGATACACTTTTGGAAAAAATTTCCCCTCGAAGTGTTATACCAATACTGCGCACAGGGATTGGCTGATGGTGGACTTTTTTGTATTGATTTAACTTAAACCTCAGCTTATTTTTAAAATTGTGGTAAGAATCCTGCTCTCCAAAGTTGGAATACCCTTTCGTCCGCTGAACTCCCAAGGGTGACCGAGGGGGCTTTGAGATGACGAAAGCTGCACTCCTCGGGTCAGCTCGTCTCTATTTGTCCTCGTGGTCCTGGACTATGTCCGGCCTAAAATAACCCAAGCAGAAAAAATTCTGACACGTGAGGTTTAGGACATCCTGTGCATTTGACTGTCAAAGCCGGAGATGGTATCCATTTTCTCCTATCATGCTGCAATTTTCTAGAAAATCTTCATTCGATAGGGAAAAGAGGATATCTTTACCCTAGTATATATTGGCTTTAGAATCTATGTCCCAAATACCATAGACCTATAGCCGGCTATGAGATTTATTATAGCATCTATTGACCGCTATACGCAGTTTCTTGCAGTATTTGATAGACGATGGCGATAAAGTTATTGTTAGGCAATAAACTGTTTAGCACGGCTGTTTGATTTCCTTCGCTTTCTAAAACCAGCTACCTATACGAATTCTATCGCTTTTTGTAACCGGATGTAAGAATTTCTACGGAACTTTGAACACCGGGATCCTATTGAGAATTTCAGCATGCGGTATCCGGGCTCAGCCCTAAGATTCCTCCTAGAGTAACTATATGAGATCCTTGCCTCATACTCAGCAATACGTCTATGTAAGTGAGGAGCTTTCCGGAAAAAGGGCACATATAGCAAAAAATGGCCTTTGAGAAAAATGCATTCGAAGTTTCCATCATTATAATTATGGCCACTGACTGTGACTTACGTTCGAAATCGGGAGTCCAAGCTGCGATGTAAGTTATCATCAGTGACCGGAAAGTAATGATGGATACTTATGATGCATTTTTCTCATACGCAATTTTTTGCAATGTGCCCTTTTCCGGAAAGCTTCTCAATTGTTAAGTCCACGTTTCTGCTGTTAAGTAGGATGACGCGTGCAGAAAATGAACACTATCTGCATGCGAAATTGCTACAAATCGTAAACTAGAATTAATTTTCATTGTGTACGTAATTTGTTCGGGCCTAACACTGAGGCTGAATTTAATTTTTACATCCCCACAAAATAATTGTAATAAATTTCGGTCATATAGATTTAACAGCACCATGAATGCGTGAGGTGTTTTTAAAGGACAGTGTTGAAGTAAATTAGGTAGACTCAGTGAGATATTCTAATCAATTAAAAGTACACATGATTTGTCCTACCGGACATGTACAAAATATTCACCCTCCTTTTCAGATGGAAAACGAACGAATAAGGTTTGTATTCAGAATAGTGTATTTTATCCTTTCATCGAGAAAAGTATCTTCTTGGGAAAAATCAGGAAATACGCTCTTGAGCATGTCCTAGATGTACTACAGACCACTACCGCTACCACTCCGATGTACTAGAGGACTGCATCCGGAATCAGCGGAGTACAAAACATACACGAAAATTCATCATTGTATGAAAGGTAACTTCTCTACCGTTCTCACTATCTGAGCGGCAGCCATGTTGGCCACCACTTTGGTTCTTAGAGAACTTTTATGGGCCTGTTTGGGTATTTGGACCTCATTTGTGGAATTTACGACCCGAAAAACCCATGCAGGGACACCTCACTCGACGATACGAGCCTCAACAAAATATTTCACCCCGCAACGGCAGCCATTTGGCCGCCATATTGACATTTTTGGGCTTCAGTAAACCTGTAGTGAAATTCTGACCTCATCAGTGAAATCTACGACCCAGAAAACCCCAGGAAAGATACCCTACTCGGCACTTTTGCGCAACTCTCGGAGATTTGACCCTATCGTGGAAATTTTGGCGGCCATATTGGATTTTGGGCATCCCTTTGAGCCGGAGACAATTTTGGACCTCAAATTCGGATTCTACGACCAAAATTACACAGCGATAGACCCCATACACGACATCAAAAACAAATTCCAACATTTTCAACCCCCGAGCCCCCATTTTGGC